GCGGGCAGAAAGGAGGTCACACGTGGGAAGCGCCGGGGTCGTTCCCATGTGTATGGTGGAGGGCAGCTGCCGTTGGCTTTGGGTATTTCCCACCCCTCGGGTCAGTTAGGCTTTTATAAAATCCAAGTGTGATTTTGGTGACATAGCTTTCCTTGACAGGAGACCTTGTTAGGAACAGAGAGGTCTGGGTATCTTTAGGTTTTTTAATTTTTTTAAATGTTCATTAATTTTTGAGAGAGAGAGAGCAGAGGAGGATCAGAGACAGAGAGAGAGGGGACACAGAATCCAGGCTCCAGGCTCTGAGCTGTCAGCACAGAGCCTGACACGGGGCTCAAACTCCGGAACGGAGAGATCATGACCTGAGCCGAAGTCGGACGCTTAACCGACTGAGCCACCCTGGCGTCTCCCTGGGTATCTTTAAAAAATGGGGGGCGCCTGGGTGGCGCAGTCGGTTAAAGCGTCCGACTTCAGCCAGGTCACGATCTCGCGGTCCGTGGGTTCGAGCCCCGCGTCGGGCTCTGGGCTGATGGCTCGGAGCCTGGAGCCTGTTTCCGATTCTGTGTCTCCCTCTCTCTCTGCCCCTCCCCCGTTCATGCTGTGTCTCTCTCTGTCCCAAAAATAAATAAACGTTGAAAAAAAAAAATTAAAAAATGGTTATTTTCCTCCTTCCCCTGCTGAAAGCGCAAGAAGAATTTTGTCTGTCTTCATAGTGAAGAGACCTCGTGGGGTTCTTGGAGATAGAATTCACGAAAGGATGGGGATCTCTTCTAAGACTGGGCCCTCCTGGATTTTCAATTCTTAAGCTAGTTTTCGTTGAGCCCCCAGCAATTGGCCGATGACAGTTTCGAGTGTTCTGGCCAGTACTAGTTCCAGCTGTGGTGGCTTCTGCTCCCGGGCTTTTGGCTCTGGTAAGCTGTGATCCTCTGTGTCCCCCTGTTTGTCTCTCCAGTTGTCTGGGTAGCAGTTTGCCCCGCGTCCCCAATTCTCTAGTGAATCTAAGAAGAGTGGTTCGTTTTCAGTTTGTTGAGCTTTTTTCTTGTGAGGATGGCAGCGATGTCTTCTCAGCTCCTTATGCGCCAGAGCAGAAAATGCCTTTGTACACAAAGGAGGGAAGTGAAGAAAAGTTACTTGGGCTCTTTGTCTCGGTTGGGGTTCAGGATGCACACCCGAGATCAGAGCGTGGTGTAGGTGGTTAATTCGAGAGGTGATCCCCGCGGGCTGGAACAAGTGGGTAAAGTGAGTCAGGGACAGGAGAAAAGCCAGTGAACCGTGTGGCGTTAACCTGCTGGTTTTCCGGCACTGGTGTGCCGTGTGGGTGGAAGGGTTTAAAGACCCTGCTTTAACATATCTTTATCTTCACCACAGCCTTGGAATAGGGCCTGACTAGTTCTGACTCTGGTTTTAAGGCTGCCTGTAGTGCAAAAGAGGAAGTGCTGTCAAGAATGGGAATGTGGGGGTAGGGGGCGCCTGGGCAGCTCAGTTAAGCAAAGGGCTCTTGATTTCCGCTCAAGTCACGATCTCACGGATTGTGGGCTCGAGCCCCACATTGGGCTCTGCGCTGACCGCCTGGAGACTTGCTTGGGATTCTCTCTCTCCGTATCTCTCTGCTCCTCCCCTGCTAGCATGCATGCTGTCTCTCCCTCTCTTTCTCTCTCTCTCTCTCTCTCTCTCTCTCAAGATACATAAATTAATTAAAAAAAATAAAGAATAGGACTCGTGGGCTCTACTCGCAGGGGCTTCTGGGTGGCCTGTGGTTGGTCACCTTCCTCTCTGGGGCTCAGCTTTCTTCAAGCTCACGGAAGATCTTTTCTACTCCTAACATCCAAATGGGTGCCTATGGGGGGACACCCCAGCATCCTGCATGGACCGTGTGAGGCCTGAAGCCAAATACATTTTCACAGAAATTGTGAAGTAAGCTCCCCCTTTGAAAACTTGCGAGTTTTTTTTTTTAATTTTTTTTAATGTTTATTTATTTTCGAGAGAGACAGAGATAGAATGCAAGTGGGTTAGGGGCAGAGAGAGAGGCAGGCACAGAATCTGAAGCAGGCTCCAGGCTCCGAGCGGTCAGCACAGAGCCCGACGCGGGGCTCAAACTCACGGACCCTGAGATCATGACCTGAGCCGAAGTCGGATGCCCGACTGACGGAGCCACCCAGGCGCCCTGAAAACTTGTGAGGTTTTGAGTTGTTCTGACTTTACATAGTTCTTCTGATTCTTTCTAGGATATTTATTTATTTATTTATTTATTTATTTATTTAGTGTCCTTCTGGTGTGATTTTTGCTCTCTGGAATGGCGTTCTCAGGGGGCCTAGGCCTGGGCCTGAGCAGCAGTTGGTTCTGGGGTTCACACTGCTTTGCTTCTTGGCTCACTTTTTACAGGTAGCTGGCTATCGGGACGGGGCCTGGATGTGAGTCTTCGGGGAGCACTGGCTTCACCCAAGCAGGTCCCAGAGTGGGGCTAGGGCTTACATAACAGCAGGATGACAGTCCTGAATGCATATCTGGAATATCTAGGAATGGATCTATCTAGGAACATACAGTGATAGGAATTCATATCCCTGCCCAGTCTGAATTCTTTAAAAAAAAATTTTTTTTTTTAGTTTATTTATTTTTGAGAGACAGAGAGAGACAGCATGAGTGGGA